GCAATTGAATCCATAATAACCAGTTCCAAATGCTTATGAATCTGTATGAAAACAATTCATATCCAAAGCTCTTAATACACTCACCTTAATAAGTGGAGAATCAAAACCGTTGAAACCTTTTTCTTCTTCTTCTTGTGCAAATTCTTCAAATTCTCAGAGAAAAACTTCTAAATATGGAAAGTGTGATATGTGTGTTTTTCCTTCTCAAATTTCTTTATATACATACACACCCATAAGGAGATTGAGAGGCGGCTAAAAGCCGTCCCCTCTCCCTTCTTTTCTTTCATTAAATATTTCCACACACACACACACACCATACATACATATATCACATATATATATATATATTTATAAATAAATATATATACATATATATATTTATAACTGAAATAATAACCAGACTATTACAGTTATCAATGCATATATTATTTGCCAGAATATATAAAACTTAAGATATGATATGATTTTTATAAATTTCCTTTGTTTTTGTTTTTTCTTGTTTTTGTTTTGTATACATTGTTTTAACCCTTTCGTGATTGAAGTTTTCAAGTAAGATTTTGTTTAATTGCAGCATTTATTACTATCTAGCTAGAAATACTATCCTATCCATGTTCAAATAGTTGCATCAGAAAAATACAAAAGTGTCATATAGGTCAACATAAATAAACAGTTTTGGGACTAATCGAATAAAAAAGAGAAATGGAATGCTACTTTATACAAGTTTGTGTATAAAGATTACATAATAAATTGTATAAAAGAATTATTACCAGGAGCAAGTAGTATAGTCGTTTCCAATAATCAACGGCAATACTCAGCGACTTGGTTGAACCAAGCCTTCGCAATTTCAAAATCCCCTTACCGAATGGCCTATTCTCCCTTTAGATCTATGGAAGGTGAATAGTTATGAAAATAGTATAAAAAGATCATCAATAAGTCTGTTCAGTGATCGCTGAATAACTTGTATTGTAAATCAATCAGAGACAGCGATACTTCAAGAAGACAACACTCACACCAAAGAACCTTCAGCAAATGTCAAAGACTGAAACTGAAGATTAGAGACTGGCGAGTACGTGATCTGAAGCGGTACTCAGTGATTACAAGTCTGTCTACAAATGTGTGAAGACTGCTCAAGCCTCAGTGAATGCTGAAGAGACCTTCAGGTCATTCCAGCATTCAGTGATCAAAGGAAGCTTGCTTAGCACGACTGTTGTTGTCTTGTCCTTATGCACACAAAGGACAAACTCATACCCTTATGAAAGTTGGTATCGTACGGAGCCTACTAGTCGACTCTATTGACCACCAACTTTAGGTAAGAATGTCTGCTCATGAA